TTCCACGAGCCAGCAGCCGCCGGTGTGCGGGAGCACATGCAACGAAATTGACATCATAGTCTTCCATTCACCCCTAAGATGACAGTGAAACGTATGGTATCCGAGAAAAAGGAGAATAAGGGGTATTCACACGAGAAATCCCGGGGATTTGTCCCCAACACGTGCATCCCACGACGGGAACGTCAGGCTTTGCGACGTGCAAAAGCCTGGCGTTCTCATCTCGTGATGCGCGCGTGCCGGGGAGAAATCCCCAGGATTTCTCCGTCGTGTGAATACTCAAAGACAGGCTTTTCAACCGAACAAGTGAAAGCTAAGTGCTGGTTAGACCAATTAATCGCCTACCTTTTATACCAGACCCCTCAGCGGAGATGAAAAGCCTGTCTTTATGCTCCTTTTCCCCGGAGCCCACACATTTCACTATCATCGTAAGCGTGGGTGGGGGACTATGACGTAAATTTCATTGCGTGTGCTCGTGCACACCGGTGGCTGCTGGTTCGTTGAACGACCGTACGCCACTTGTTATGGATACTGGAATGTTTGGTTCAGCAATACTTTAAGCGCGTTACCATCGTACTACTAAACGATGTTTTCCAAACTTGCGTTTTTGCCATTTTTGTCAATTTTTAATTCAACATTCCCCCCAAAAAGTTTAGTTCATATTCTGATAAATTCTAGCGCCGCTCTTTGACGATAAGTACAAACATGTCTAAGGCGTATGCATTCAGATGCTCGAGTGGGCGCCTACGAAATTCCGACTAAAAGTGCTTCCTCGAAGTCAGTTTTTCGTATTTAAAATATGATAAAAAAAAAGCATCGAAAAAAGGATTGCGACTGACACTAAATGCACTCTTGTTTAACATTCGAAAAGTTTAGAAAGTTGCTCCAATATTAGACCCTGCACAACGAGAAACCATGTTTTGTCGAAAAAGCCCATATTCGCACGTGCACAGTAAATTAGCCTTTCGCATGAGTGAAACGAATTTTACATCCGACAAATTATATCATTCTGCCCTACCGAATAATATATAACACAGAATTTTAGAAAGCTTGAACGCGCCGGAATCGCATTTTAAAAACGCGCAAAAAGCGTAATCTCTCATTGCAGGATTAGGACCGCAGCCTTATCAATAAACATAAATGTTTGTTCCTTGATGTAAAGCTATCTTGAAGTGACACCCATTGGGAAATCTGTAACGCAGCTGAGGATGCTGATAAATTGGCCACCAAGGACACACAAAAAAAAAACATTTTTTAATGTGACCTTACTCTCCCTGTTACTTAATGGTTGTGAATGGAAACAAAAGGAGCGTACTTGCGCTCACTGAAAATAATGGTGCTGTTACTTCAAATAATCATTGTGCCTCCATTCTATATTATATATTTATAAAAGCGTTTTGTAAAGGTGAAGACTGCTGCCACCTTATGTACCCTAGTTATGACTTTGTTTCCAATATATTCATTTGTTATTGGCTACAACCAGACTGGAAAGCTGGTTGATGACCTAAAATATCTTCTTTTGATGTTGACAGTATAACCTCCACACTTCTTCAGCATACCAAAAATTGTATCTTGATATTTTTTTTAAGAGCGTTCGACACCCTCTTGCTTTTGGTGTATGACCTGAATAGTGAAAAATAGGAAATAGGAAGGCGGTTCGACTTCGTAAGCCTGGTGATAAAAATAGCTGTCTTAACTGCCGACCCATTTCCATAATCAGTACACCTCGCTAACGTTTAGAGCACGTAACATTAATTATGTTGGTTAACTACTTAGACTCTAATACTTTTCATTCCTCACAACATAGCTTTCGCAAATCACTCTTTTGTGAGACTGAACTACTGACCTTCAGTAAAAACTGCTCTCGATACTTGACCGCGGATCTCAGATTGCGTCTTTTCTTGGTTTTTACGGTCTTGGAAAATACGTCTTTTTGACTAGTCGTTCTAAATTCGGTAATGCTAACAATGTAAACTCCCCTCTCAAAACTGTCACTTCTGTTGCTTCGGAAGATCTGTTTTGGCGCTCTTATTGTTTTTAATTAACGTATATGCCTTACCATTGTGTGTATGTTCAACCCTCAGCCTCTTCGCTGGTGATTGTGTAACGCGTCGTAAAGTTACCAACAGTAGTGACATCACATTCCTTCAAAATTAATTACAAGCGGTGGGTGAATAGTGTGGCTTGTGACAAACGTATCTTAATACAAACAATTGTAGAGTTATAAAAAATATCTCGTCCAATCGCTGCACCTCGCATTTTCTCCATCTCTGACATTCCTCTTGAATCTGAAACCTGCTGCGAGTACTTTGGTGTACACAACACTTCTAACATGTCATGGGAAACGCACATTGATTATATTATCGCTAACACTAATTTATGTTTGGTTGCTTAAAAAAGGTTTTAGGTTAGCCCCACTGTCTTTAAAACTAACAATGTATAATAAACTTGCCCGTTCCAAACTAGACTGTGCTGGAGCATTCTGGAATCCAAATTTTGCAAAATTCGTGGCTGGCCTTAAGGCCTTACAGAATCCCGGCACCCGTTCTATATTTACTACCACCACACAGCTACTGTCTCAATTATAGGAACTAATTTATCACTTCCTCCCCTTTCCTTGAGCCAGAAAACAAGAATCGCCCTATCTCTTTTATACAATTTATCACTCCCATACCGAATTAAAAAGACGAACTCACTTTGAATCCAGTTTTTATTCTACCGCGCGTAGATCATCAATTTAAAGTTGGAATTCCTCGTTGCGTTACTTTAGCTTATTACAATTAATTAATTTCCCAGCGGAACCACCTTCCGGTAGACGTAGTAAACAAACCATACTTCGATTTATATAATAATGAGGTGACTGCCTACTCCTACTTATGTTGAAGTTATTACTTCCCTATTTGTTTTGTTTTATCATTTATAACTTATTTTCAATTTCTAAACATTTTGTATGGTTTTAGCGCCTTGCTTATACTGTCTGTGTATTCCTGATTCTACTATATTTTGTCTGTCTCAATCCCCTATGTAATACCTTTGGGCCTCAGGGGAAACAATTAAATAAATAAATAAATAAATAAATAAATAAACAACCAAATAAATAAATGAAATTAAGAAACACGATCTAGAGGCGTGTTTCTCACCATGAAATGCAAGGAGGGTGAGGTCCATTTTGTTAGAAGTGTTTTCCAAACCATGCACCAAGGACGGTTGCTGCTTCACTGACACGCATAACCTTGCTACTTTTTGGACCACCGGGGCGGAAACCTTAACTTTCTCAAGGAAGGATTTGAAATTATGCTATTGAGAAAGAGATGATTTTTTTTTTTTACCTTTTTGAGGTAGTTTGCAAAACGCGACTTAATTTGTATTTAAGCTAGAAAAGCAACATGAAGTAACGTGTAAAGTGATTTGCAAAACGATCCGCTGAAATACTAACGCAAATGCTTTACTCGATAGTCATTGAAACAAGAAGCACTCTAGCAGTACGTTACTGAGAAAAGTAATGCGTTACCAGGAACGCCGTTACTTGTAACGCGTTACTTAAAAAAAGATACTGTAACAATGTAAACTACCGTGTCAAAACGTGTCCAAATGGGCTATCTCGTTTTTGTGCAAGAACAGAACTTCGAGTTACGCAGTTGTTTTCCCTCTGTGTATTTATTTTATATGCCTCCAACAATTCCTTGGTATCTCATCAGTTCTTTTCTCAATGACTGTGATGCTGCCGAAAAGAGGACGACATAAACAAGTGCCGTAGTGCAGGGGGTAGACGACAACATCCCCCCCCTCCCCCCCCCCCCCCCCCCCGCAGTTCATCGAAGCGACCAATCACGCTTCCGTGCTCTATTCTTAATGCACCGGCCCGTTTTTATAATGTAGACCGTCCTACATTGGACAAATGGGCCGGTGCATTAGTGATAAAGCACGGGAGCATGTCTGGTCGCTTCAATCAACAGCGGAGGGGGGGGGGGGGGGCGGGTCGTCTACCGCTGCATTGCGCCACATGTAAGTTGTTTGTGTCACCCCCTTTTCGACAACATCACTATCATCGGGAAAGGAGCTTATAAGACAGTTAGAGAATTATTAGTCATGAAATAAATAACTTTTAAGAAAACAACTGCGTAAGGCAAACTTCTGTTTACTAGCACAAAGAAGAAATAGTCTACTCGACAAGTTTTGACGTGATGGAGACTTGGTGGCTTACTTCGTTGGGTGTATTTTCAATAAATATTTAGTGGTCAGTCAGAGCTCGTCCTGCTTACGCCTTTCTCGCTTTCGTAGTTTTTCTCGCTCTTTCATATATTGCTTGTCACGAGACCAAATCGAATGCTCACGCAATGCTCGTGTCTACTTTTTGAGCCGCATTTAATTATCGTCACAATTTTGCCACCAAGCAAAGCTTGATGGTAAAATCCCAAGGGTCGCGTTGTTGACAACGCCAACGATACAGTCCTCATGACTTTGTCATCGAGCTTTACGAAGAAGAGACTAAAAGAACACGTCCCCCTTATTCTTGAATTGAAACCGCAGCAATGAAGCTTCATGGCCAGTGCGAGTATACTTGGGTTCCGCAAGTGCCAGTATTGTGGAAAGCGAGAAACATTCATACCCAATATTTCGTTGCACGGCGCCTTTAAAGAAATGCCACCGCTTTTAAAACGGTGCACGAAACGAGCTGTGTTTGGAGATTTATGTTTGTCCTTTCTCCCTCTTGTTCCCCTTCTCCAGGGATTATTTTCGTCACATCTAATACAATAGTCGGACACTTCAGCACTAGTAACCTATATTTGGGACCAGTCTCTCCACGCGAAAGAAAGTGGACTGTATCAATAATCTCTTTCCCAGCGTGAGGGAACGCAGGACGCGCCGCATGCGGCAGACTTTTATCGTGACCGCTTGCTCGGTTGTTGCAGGTCAAAGTCTCATTGCTTTACTGGTACTCTTAAAAAAAATAATATGAGTTGTGACAGAGCTGATAAGTCGACGTTTACGGGGAGGGTACCAAAGAGGTTGGTAACGTGCCTCTTATCGCCTCCGTGCTGATTGTGAGCCGGGTCTCTGCGAAGAGCGAGCGGGACACATAGCATCAGAGGTCCGCAGTTCCAGGATGTCGCCAACGTTTGTACCACTGTCCACGGAATTGATACCAGGTCTAGACTGGAGGCCGTTATGTTTCGAGCATCCCCTTCCCCTCGACAGGCTGTGCCATGTTTGCGGAGTGCTGTGCAAGGAAACGGTCGTGCTGCCTTGTTCCCACACCCTTTGCGACGTCTGCTTCGAGGGCAGCCTTGACCTGGGTTGCGTATGTCCACTGGACCGAGAGAACTTCGACAAGGATGCGGTGGACAAGCTGAAGTTGCGACCGGGACAGTTGCTGAAACTGAGCGTGTCTTGCTGGAATTCTGCACACGGCTGCAACTTCATCGGGCCCGTCTCCGAACTCTTGGATCACTTCGAAAAAGAATGCCTTCACCACAGGGCTTCTTGTCCTAGGTGTCATCATGACGTGCCGCGGCTGGGCCTTGTGCAGCACTGCGTCCAATGCTACGACCCCAAACAAGGCGCGGAAGTTCCGTTGCAAAGTGCGACACTGCAGGGAGTACAGTTACGTGAAGACTTGGAGAAGGCCAGTGCGGAAATTAAGCAGTCTATGGCTGAACTCAAGGACGGCTACTACGTGCTGCAGGCCAGTGTCAACACCGTCGCGAATAAAGTCAATCTTGGACATTCAGTAGCAAGTCAAGCAATTACTGAAGCCGTGTCCGGCCTCCTGCAACAGCTTCAGAAGACGCAGCCAGATATGACCAAACTGGGAAGAGAGTTATGCGGAACTTTCGAGAACGCCACAGCCGATATGAAGCAGTCCATCTCTGAGCTCAAAGATGGCTACTCTAGGTTGCACGCTAGCGTCAACGCAGTATTGGATGAGCTCAAGCTTGGGCATTCAGAAGGAGATCAAGCAATCGTTGAAACCATGTCAAACCTCCTAGCGCAGTTTCAGAAGATGCAGCCAGATGCCACCCACCGGCAAGGACAGCTACTTGAAGACTTGAGGAGGTCTTGTGCTGAGATCAAGCAGTCCATTGCTGATCTCAAAAACGACTTCTCTAGGCCGCAGACCAGTATCGGTCCATTCAAGGATGACGTGAAACTCGAGCACTCGGAAAAGAGGCAAGTAATGGCTGAAGAGGTCTGACATATAGTTTCCACCTCTCAGAATGTGACGTCTGGGTGTTAAAATGGCACATAATTTTCTAATCTAAACCCTGAGACACGGAGAAGTAAATTAACAAAAGAGACATGTGAGTTGTTTTCTTTCTCCCTGTCTCAGGGTTTGGATTAGAATGCTTTTAGCCAGCTCAAATGCATACTTTCGCTTCTTGAAGAATTTCGCCCGCGAAAGTCACTTGACTATACTCGAGGACAATTTTCTGTTTCTGCTAATCCGTGTTTTCAGGTGCATAATCTTCTGCAGAGTTTGCGGATCTGGTGTAATTTTGCGCTTGTTGTGTGCATGTTAGTAAACCAGTGCACCGGTCAAAATTCCGTGAAATCTGAGGAAAAACGACTCGTGACCCTACACCCTAAAAATAGGGTGTTCGCGGGTACTCATTCGAGAGGAGTCAAACAATGCCCCATGTGACCCTCTTGGTGAGTCATCTGATTCTCCTAAATCGGGGAATAATAATACTGCCCGTTTATGGGGTTTACTGGCTCTCATTCGAGTCCACCTGGAACTCCTTTGACTCTCAGGCACTTACGTGACTCCCGATATTATGGGCGGTAAAAAGCACGCGCCCTCTACCAGACTGAACGCTGACTAAAGCTGTGCGAGATCTCTTCACATCTCGAAAGTGATACAGTAGGTTGCACCCGAACACAGTGTTAATTCAGCCTTCGCAGCAGACTCTGATTCGACCGTGCTTGTAAGGGGGGGGGGGGGGGGGGGGGGGGCGGTGAGAGGGGAATGGAGCGTAGCCTTCCACATCGCCGAACAAAAAAAAGAAAACCACAAAGTAACCCAAAGTTGAAGAAGAAACGAATTAGTACTTTCATTTACCTGAATTCTGGCCGACAGCTGCCACGTTTTTTTGCGATATCAATTCGCCGTCACTCGTCGTCGTCAAATCTAAAGTACTTCTCGCCCCCTAATTTAAACAAAAAGAATGATGATGATTGAAAGGCAAAGAGGTTAGCCTGAAAGCGTGCCTCTAGTACACTACTCTACACAGAGGTTTGGATAGCAGAAAAAAGACTGGCAAGACGAAATGATATCGGGAATGGTACGAGTAATACGATGAGGTGATCAGAGTGACATTCTCACACACTTGTCAGTGCCAGTCTTGTGTCTCGCTAAAAGGTAATTATTGAGTTTGTTGCTTTTGCGGATCACTGAATTGAGGCCCAGCCATCGAGCACATTCTCGGCGGCAAATGGCCTACCATCCATGGTTGGCTGTGTCATCTCAAGGGCCTGTGTCTCGGTGGCGTGAAGAGTGCCTCTGGCGAGGGGACGCGATCCTCCTTGTCTTCGAGGTCATTTGATATCGAACTCCTCTTTTAAAGAAAGCGTCCTGCTGAAAATTATGTAACATGTGCACCTATACGGCCCATATTCCAAATTTACCATTTCAAAAATCGGTGAGAACAAAAACTTCTTTTGAAAATTAAGTACTGTATTTTTTGGTTTGTAGGGTGCATCCTTCTCTAAACGGCCATTTTCACGCGAAATAAGAAGTTGGCATAAGTCGAACATCTATATCCGTACGGTCAGAGTGGCGAAACTACATCGGCAGGCCCGCGCTTGTGTATTGCGATCGCGATATAGGCTCAAGCGGCACAAAATTTCGATATTTTCGCCAGCGAATGGAACGAGATATAAAACCTCCGCGGCGAACTTGGGCAATTAAAGTTCCTACTCGTAGAAAAAAAAAAGCTTGGAAATCACGCCGTCTTATAGGACACACCAAAGTAAATTTTAGAAGAAGAAAGCTCGACTATTTTTCCGGGAAAATAAAATAGTCTTTACAGCGGACTTCCCTTAAATATTATGCTCGTGTCTTGGCTTGAGAGATCGCAAAATCTGTTAAAATCCGAGGTCGTATTTGTACTAAAACTCTTTCCTCGAATGAACACGCAAAATGCATTCGCGTAAAAATTTGTAAAGCTCTTGGAATTATATCCAAAACTCGCCATGTGTTCCCTAAGCCAGTGAAGTTTCTTTTATACTATTCTTTGGTTTATACTCAGTGTGTTTACTTCCACCTAGCTGGGGGCCTAACGACTAAGAAATATTTAACACCGATGTTTCTAGCACAAAAACGTAGTTCGTGTTTTGGCAAGCGATTTTTTTTTTCGTGCTTAGAGGTAATTGAGGGGTAATTGTTTTAAGAGATACACAATTGTGTCAATCAATGATCTGTAGAAGTACCTCTTGATGTTTGTATAAAATACAGCGCTAAAACGAAATAACAGCTTTTTCCTCTCCGTGTTGTCAGGTTTGGAGAAAGAATTACCCGAAGGGGCTTCAGCTTCGGCTTTAAGAGTGGAACGCGATTGCTAAACAAACCCCCCCCCCCCCCCCCCCTTGTTCCCAAGCCGTACAAGCGTGCCTGCCTGGCCTACATTCTTCTGGCAACGAGAGAGGTCGGACGCAAAGTCGATGAGCTCCTCCGGAGCGGCACCACGGCCGAGTCACCACGCCGGCCGTGGTGACTCGGCTGTTTCAAGCACCGAAGAGTAAATGATGCCTCTGCCTTTGTCGCCCTCAGGGGAAGCGATGAAACGTGCCGTTGTTCTGCACGTCGACGTCGCTTGTCGGCCGTACCGTGTCGAGGACTTTCGAAAACTTCTCGACGACGCCGGAGTTCTCAGGAAGTGGCCAGGATTGAGACATTTCTCATGTCGCATGTTTGGTTGGTCGTCCTCGAGACGGACGCGGGACCTCGGGACGGACAGACGCGGCAGGGTGGCTCACCGTCAAGGGCCACGGGTGCGTCGTCTTCGACCCGTTTCGTCAGGAGCTGCGGATCAAGCTCCATTAGGTGTCGTTCGGTGTCAGGTACGACGGCACCATCCACCGGGCCTTTGCAGGGTACGGCCACGTCGAAGACGTAGCACGGGAGTGGTGGAGGGTGGCGGGCGTTGACGGCGTCGAGTCCACCACCAGGAGCGTGCGCCTGGCTCTACGGAAAGGCGTCGGCCTCAAGCACCTGCCGCACAGCTTCGGCTCGGGGGTGGCACGGCGCTCGTGGTTGTGCCTGGGCACAACCACGAGCCTTTCGCCTAAGGTGCGGCAGGATGGGCGGCATGCGACGGAACTGCCGGGCCCCCCGGCGCGCCGAGTGCCGTGCCTTCAGGCACGAGCAGCCCGACCGTGTCCGCTCTTTTACGCCCAAGCCGCAAGACGAAATGCGAGGGCCGACCAGAACGACCACTTCATGCAGGACGATTAGGCTGGGAAGGCGGCTGCTCCCACACGAACCCCGACCAAGCAGGCAAAGGAAGGGGACGACGAGCCCGGAACCAACCCCGCAGGTGCGAGCGCCCCGATCACACACAGGGTGTAGCCCGAGGCCCCTCCCTTTCCACGGAGGTTCTTCCAACGGCGGCTAAGCACCAGCCGGCCTCGCCGACGGAGACCAAACAGCAGGCGCGGCTACGGTTTCTGGCGGGAAACCCTCCGGTTCAGCGATGGACGTCGAGTCGGGCTCTGCAAAGCGCCAGCGGGAAGACGTCTCGGGTGTCTTCCAGGAACGTCGGCCGCGCCAGCTTCAAAAGATGTGGAAGATCGTGGACTGCTGGGCGGGTGCGGATAGGCAGCTGCGGTCTTCAGCACCAAAGGGTCGCCACAAACTGTCGCAGTGAACTGGCGTGCAGACGGACAGCCCCGTGCGACGACGTCCTGTCGACGTACGCGCCGTACCTTCGGTCTGGACCCGGCTAGCTCATGGTCTCCTTAGAAAAGCCTATCTGACTGGCGACTCTCAATGAACGAGAACTCGCCGACCGTAGGAGGCAAAGGCAGCTTTATCGCGTCGTCGTCGAGCAAGACTTGGGTATGGTCGTGGTCCAGGATACCAAAGTAGAGAGCGGGGGCCAGGCGGAATTTATGGTGCTCCCGTACACAGCCCGGCATACAACGACTGCGTAAGCCACGCGGTAGAAACGTCCGCAAGCTGTATCCTCTTTACCCGCCAGAATTTAGGCGGGACGGTTCTGGGGTGACGACGTGCACGTCTGTACGATTCGTTGTTCGTGACTTTTCGTTTTCTTCCTAGGAATGGCGGGTTGTTTTCGTTTATGCTCCCACTAGAGTAATTGGGCGGCGGGCGTTCTTTGATTGTATTCAGCGATTTTTCAACTGCGCGAGCGGCATCTAATTTTACTTGGAGATTTTAACGGCGTGTTTTCCGCGTCCGACAAATCGAGCGCTCTGGCCTATAGTGATATGAGCACGGGAAGTATTTGCAGTATGACGAACGCGTTTGGCCTCGATAACGTTGAGGAATATCTAAGAAAAGACTGCGATGTTCAGTTGACCTACTTTGAAGGGGCCAGTCAGGCCCGTCTGGACCGCGCTTATGAGTCGTTAGAGTTGATACCTTTATATTCCGAATATTAAGTGTTCTCTGTTTCTTAAAGTGACCATTGTCTAGTTTCTTTTTGCATCCGTAGTAAGTTGGAAAAGAAAAAAGTGTTTAGATAGGATTTTTGGAAAATGAATGCGAGGGTGTTGGCAGATCAAGTCCTCTCTGCTATCGAAAAATTGAATTACGGAAAAACTTCACAGCATGAAGCGAACTGGGAGCTGTTTAAGCAGGGTGCAAAGGAAGATGGTTTTAAAGAAAGCAAGTATAATCAACTACGAAGAAAGAACGAAATGTCGTTACGCAACACTTTGCAAACTTCGTTAAAAGAAGACAGTAGAACCCTGGGCGCGTTCACAGACGACATTCTTCTGTGAAAGATAAACTCGAGAATGCAGACGGGGACCATTATCGCGGGGCGATTGTGAGAGCGATAGCCGAACATTGGACCACGGACGAAGCGCCAACTAAACGTGCGCTGAGCCTAGAAAAACAAAAAAATGTTTGTCGCAACGAGATAACTGTAGTAGAAAGTGAGCAAACAGCCACGTGCGAAACTGATAAAATTGAGCTTGCCTTCTGAGCACTATAGAGCAGCTTACTGTAGCCCTCTCCCGTGGACGTGGACCGGTTTAAAGATAAGTTTTTGTATTTTAGGTCGCAAATCGACAGCGAAACGAAAAAGTTCGAGGAGGTCTCCATCACAGTTGATGAAGTGCTTGTGCCAACAGAAGCGCTAAACTCAAGAGAGTTCCCAGGCCCGGAGAGCCTAAGGCAGGCTTTTATAAGGCGTAAAATATACAGTACCGTAACTTTTTAATTCATTTGAAAATCAAAACCTGGAGATTACAAGGATACTGAAGTATTAGCTACGTAACTTGATAATTATAATTTTTAATTAGTTTAAGGCAAACTTTTATATCTTAAACATATATTACAAACATAAAACACACAAACTATTGTTCGTGAGTGTTGACCAGGAGTAGATGGCTGTCATTTCAAGTATCCAGATTGTGTCTGTTTCAAGCACATAAGGTTTATATGCTGCGGGAACTCAGAAAGTTAAGAGTTTTTGGTGCACCGCTTTTGATGATTGGCAGCTGTTTGGGGGCCAAGAAAACATGAATTAAACATGCATTTTTAAAATGACAGCACATATGAGCTTGATCTCATGACAATTTGATTGAAACTTGAGTGCCAAGTATAGGATACGAAAAGTTAAAGAAAGACAAACTCGTGTTACGTTGGAGCAAATAGGGTGAATGTCCTTATTTGTGTTTACGTCCTACATTCATGTTGGGAGAGAGGCAGCGGGAGGAGATCGGGGAGGGCTTTGTGAAGACTGCTCAGCATGGTTGCAGTGCCAGCAACATGACTAAAAAGCCGCCCATTTAATGAATTCAGTTAATTACTGGCTCATCGAGAAAAATAACCGCTTTTCAGGAAGACAGGCACCGGCGGGTTAAATATTTCACGGTCCCTTGATAGGGTGTGACATAACTCCTTCAATTGCTTGGTGCGTAAACTCTAAGTTTATGTACCAAAGGAGAGTTTCATGAAATGTACATTGCAGTAGGAGTGGCTCTGAGGAACAAATGGTGGGCTAAACCATAGCCTCCCATATGAGGAAAGCCTTCACCTACGACGCCAACACCGCACGCCAAAACTAGATGAGACAGAACGATAACTTATAACGTAAAGATGATACACGGGTGACCTCCAGAGTTTCGCCTTTTCTTTTCAAAACTTTCCGAAACTCTCCTCAATTCCGTTTCCTTTTGCCAAAAAGAACCGTACGTTTATTTTTTTTTTCCCGAAAGCTACCCCCACTTTTGACGTAGCTTCCATCAGCGTGTCCTCATACTATCACTAAGAAAAAAAGGGTAAACGGTCGGTCGACTTTTAAATACGTTTCATTTATTGCTCTGGTGCATGCTGTCGTCTTTGATTTGGTTTGGTTTGAACTCTTAAAACACGAATTTCCAGAATCCTTGCATTTTGGACTTTTTCAAGTTCGATCCTTGCGGGGGTTCGAAAGATAGGAACATTTCAAATTCAAACCTTAAAGGGATGCTGAACCGAAATCTGGATTCCACAAAACACGCGGCAAAGGCGTGCAGCGGGATGCTACAAACATCCAAACATCACTCATACAGCGATATCTTAAACGAATAGCCGTATTTTTCAAGAAAAGGAGGCGCATTTGACAGAAACGTTGACGTCATGTTTTTCCGAGAGGGAGAGGGAACGGCCTCGCGTTTTCTCCGCTTCGCCACCTTGAGGGAGCGGAGCGAAAAGAGGAGGAAACTAGGTATATCACGTCACGCGTCTCTTCGGCCTGGTTCAATCTCGACTTCTTTTTCCTATAATACGGCCGTCCATTCGATATATCGCCTTACGAGTAGTGTTCTAGGGATTGTAGCGTCCTGCCTGCATCTCCTGCATTATTTTTCTAAAATCCAAATTTCGGTTCACCGTCCCTTTAAAAAGGTTCCAAATTTTGGAACACTTTCGAACTCGAGCTTAGGGAGGTCACGGCACCCTTACTTCTAGTTATACATGGCTGTTAACGCGCACCCCCCTCACACTGCAACGGGCATGGGAACATGGTTACGTTTCCCCAGCACGCACAAATTTACGCAACAACGTAACGCTGAGACACGGCGTTTGCGCGAAACCGCCGACACCCGGGAAGAAAGATCGGCTCATCGAAGAAAAATTGAGTTGTGTGTAAGTTTATACAGCCTAGAACTTGTTCTGGCTCAACGGGCGACGAGTCTCCCAGCTGTAGATGAGAAATATAGCCAGTGGAGTCGAACCGTTAGCCTGGGGTCTTTAACGTGCACCACGCAGTTATGATACACGACCGCACACCGGTATGATGCTCATCCAGAAGATCCAAACGGGCAGGGGCAACACCACCTAGACAGAAGGCCTCCACACGCGTCATCATAGTCAGATCGATCGAGGCGAGAGATTGGGCACGAGTGCTGCGTCAGTGTTCGGCTGCGGCTCGTGGCCAATCAGCGCGTCGAAGGTCGGGCTCGGGTCCAATAGCCGACCGAGCGCGATCCGACTGTGATGACGTTTCATAGAAAAAGAGGAAACCATGCGGAGGCCTTCTGTCTAGGTGGTGTGGGCAGGGGTAGGGACTGAGCCCAGAATCCCTGGGTTCTGCAGCGCGAGTTTCGCTCCACGTGCTCGGAGCTGGTGTGCGCTAGCCCACTCAGCCACCGATCGCCCTCTCTTCGAAGACAAGAGTATGTGGACCGTAGGCGGGGATTAAGGAAAGTTGCGGTGCCTGCATTCGAAAGCGCCGACGCACAGAAGAACAAACTAATATTACTACTCTTCGCTGAGTCGAAACCTCTCCCTACCGAAAAAGTCGGTATATCTTTTCGCTATCCGGATTATGGAACCGGAAATCTATCTGGACTCTATCTGGAATTTAGGTTTTCAGAAATTATTCCTTTGTCTGTAATCTGAATTTCGGGTTTCCAGAAACAAATTTCCGGTTCCATAATCCGGATAATGAAAAGTTATACCGGATTTTTCGGTAGGGCTGCGACAAATACTAACGAATTTCGTCGAATATCACCGTAGGAAGAACAGCAATTTCGGAATCTTTTTTTTTGTGTGCTTTCCCGCAAAATACAAAGAGAAAGGAGGAGTGGTTCGACTTACGACACCTGTGTGGCTCGGTCTTCAGGACACTTTCCTTCTCCGCCTGCCGCTCAATCTTCCCCTTTTACCGCAGCCTGGCTGTCTATTGGCATGGTAACTAAAGCGCAGGGTTTCCCCCTACATAGAAGGCAATGTCACAAGTATTTGGCTTGGAACAAATGGTAGGGTGGTGTGTTCGTTTACTTCTCATTCTTGCCCTGCGTGTCTTTTGCGCTGTTTCCGTAGAAATTTTGAAGGAATTTTTTTTAAAGCGAGATATTTGACTTTGCACTTTGTCGATGAGATCGGCGCAACTGCCCAATTGACAGCTGCGCCCAACGACTAGGGTGTGGAATTGCTTAGGACTGACGGTTTAATTTTCTATGCAGGATGTCTACGAAGCAGGCGGTGATGCATTTTGTTAAAATGCCGAGAGACATGCAACAGGATGCTGTGCGCATAGCCATCCAGGCCCTGGAGAAGTTCCAACGTGGAAAGGACATTGCGTTCTACATCCAGGACAAGTTCCGCGAGAAGTACGATTCGTTCTGGCAGTGCATCGTGGGGACCAACTTCGACTCGTATGTGCATTATAGAATAAGGTGTCATATCGACTTCCAGCTAGGCCATATGAGAATTCTGCTCTTCAAGGCACTCGGCAGTGCCAAGGCGATATCTACAGGCAGTTCCATGGAAATATCTGTCGGCGGTTACGGCTTGTCGTTTCAGGACGAATGTTGTGAATATGGGCATCCAGATGAAGACTTTGATTGGTCGTAGACGATAAAACTTCACCGGACAACGTGAGGCAACCGGATTTTCAGACGACATCATAGCCGCACGGATGCATTCAGAGAGTCGACTCCGACCACCGATGCATTTTTGCCGAAAAACAAGACAGTTACTCTGACAAGAAATCTACCTTGGGATCGTTTTCGTCGAGCTTCTTAAAGCGCAGCTCTTAGGGGCCCGTTTCCGGCTTGAGCGGCGTCAGCGTTGGCGTAACCGCGAGGTCACGTGACACCCCCCCCCCCCCCCCGAGGTCACGTGTACCTCCCCGCTCAGGTCACGTGACCCCCCTCAGGTCACATAACCCCTCTAAGGCCACGTGACCCCCCTGAGGTCACGTGATCCCCCGAGGTCACGTGAGCCCCCTCAGGTCACGCGACCCCCCCGAGGTCACGTGACCCCCCTGACGTCACACGACGCCCCCCCCCTTGAGGTCACGTGACCTCAAGGAGTCACCTATCCCTCAGTACGCTTCCATCCTCCTCCTCAAGAGGTGCGCTCTAGTCTGACGTTACAGGGAATTGTAAACGGCTTTCATTTTTTAGATAACAATAAAACACCTGTTTTGACACGATTCTCTCTAAAAACTCAATTCGGATATTAATATAGGCAGAAATATAATCAGCAGAAATGTAAATTCTGGAGTGCAAGTAGATTTTCGCAGTTATTAGAGAGCGGCCATTGGATGGGCATGCGTTTGAAAATGTTGCTAACATTTTGGTGTAAGTACGTGAAGGACGACTCCGTTTGCTGTAAGAAGGAGCTTCCAAGTGCTAGCGATTTCTTTCTTCAAAACCGCCACGTGTGCTTTGAGCGCTTGGTTTCATTGTTACAGCGGAGCTGTTAAGGGCTAGTTTCCACGGCATCGTGTCCGTCAGCACACAAATGATGACACTAAATTCCGGACAGCTACCTCAATCTATAAGCAACGGAGGCAACCAAACAACCGGTTTGCTGGTTGTCGGGTTGCAGCTGCCGCTTATAGATGGCGGCAACCTCTCCAGCCTTTCCACTCTGGCTTGCCGACTTGCGGCCGGTCATTACTTCATTCCCACCATAGTACAGTTTCGCTGGTCTTCCTTCTTCGCCAGACTGGAAAGGCTGAAAGTTTTTAACCAAGCTTTGGACGCTGTCTTAATAGTGTCCTGACCTGCTTCATCGTTGAGCACACATTGAGTCCGCTCAATTTCGTCTGCATTGACAAAGTACGCATTCGGCACTTCGCTAACTCATGGCTTCGTGGCATTTGTAATGACTCATGACATGATCCATGATGAGCGCCAGCCAGTCCAACCGTCCAGTCAAGTGGAGTTTGACATGACTCTCCGGCGGCGAAGTTCGTGCGCACAGGTGGCTCAGATCTGAAGCAGCATACAAGAAAAAGATTTAGGGCTAAGTAGCGGCGGTTGTAGTGCGATATGGAGATGTGCATCATCACTAACTTGCTTTTCCTGGGCAGATTGCCGTCGGCAACGGCAACACGCTTTAAAGGAGAGCACTCTTTTTGTTGACATGGTTGCATTTGAATGGCGTGGAAAAAAAAGGTAGGAAATGCGTTATTTTTTGATATTATATGGTATTATTATATCTGTTTCGTCATTCATAAAAGCAGCACCACAAAAATTTTGGCGGCATATAAGTACTTCCAAAGACAAGAAATGTCCATCCCTCGTTGTTGACGGTTGTGTAATTGATGACGAATTTAAAATCGCTACCATTTTTAGTGACCAATTTTATTCCGTGTTTACAAGAGATAACAACATTGTTCCTGACTACGACGTCCAATCTCAGCTACCCGCTCTCCAGAACGTTACTATCACTGAAGCAGGTATTTTGTCATTATTACTAAACTATGATGTAAAGAAGAGCAGCGGCCCGGATGACATCCCCAATTTGTTTCTTAAACGCTATGCGGAATGGGTTTCAAAATATTTGTTTGTCATCTTTAAAACGTCATTGGCCACTTCGAGATTGCAGATTGGAAGCTAGCAATCGTTAAACCCATATATAAATCGGGTGACCCTCGGATAGCATTTAACTATCGTCCCATTTCTTTGACGTGTATCAGTTGTAAATTACTCGAACATATTATTGCTAAACATATAGTTGCCTACGTCACGGAGCATAATCTTCTATCGAATGTACTGCATGGTTTTAGAGTCGGATACTCGACAATATCTCAGTTAGATGGAACAGAGCATAATTTTTCTTCAGTCATTAATCGCCGAGGTCAAGTTGATGTAATCTACTTTGACTTTCCAAAAGCCTTTGACAAGGTTTCCCATCTAAAGATTTTATTAAAATTACGTGCGATGTTAAAAAACGCTCAAATCGTAAACTGGATTCAGGATTTCCTGTCGGGGAGGGGACAGTATGTAATGTTTAATCAGACTGCATCTTCCATAGCAAATGTAGAATCCGGGGTACCACAGGGGTCAGTTTTGGGGCCACTGCTTTTCTCGATATTTATCAATGATATAGCTACTAATATCAGAGTAAACATAGGATTGTATGCTGATGATTGCATCCTATATCATGAAATCAAAAGTCCCGATGATCATCTCATCCTAAATAATAGCCTTCAGGAAATATCAAAATGGTGCAAAGATTGGCAAATGGTACTTAACAAAGAGAAAACTGTATTTATATCTATCACCCATAAAAAGCACCCTCTCTTTTTTCATACCACATAGGTAACCAAGTACTGATCCGGGTTAATGAATATACTTATTTAGGACTACATATAACACACAATTTAAAATGGGATAAACATGCCAGCGCGGTTATAGATAAATCATCTAGACAACTACGGGTTATGAGACGCAAATTACGGCAGGCAGCTCCAGATACAAAACTATTGGCGTACAAAACTTTTGTTCTTCCTATCTCAGAATACGCGAGTGTAATATGGGACCCCTACACAAAAAAAAAGACATCAATAGGCTGGAAATGGTACAAAGAAAAGCGGTTCGATTCATCTACGGGGTACATAACAGGCATGCTTCAGTTAGTGAGTTACTTAATAAAGGACAATTATCAACCCTTAGCGCGAGAAATACTATTAACAGATTGAAACTGCTCTTCCAGATAATTCATGGCATGATCAACATCAATCGGGACAAGTATATATCATATTCTGCGCGCTCCAATACACGTAGCCAGCATCCATATTATATCATTGAGCCGTTGCCGCGAAATAATGTTTTCCAATACTCATTTTTTCCGCGCACTTTCAAAGATTGGAATAACTTACCCGCTGAAATAACGAACTCTAGTTCCCTAATTTCATTTCTTGATTCTGTTAGAAAACATTTCAATGTTGAGTGAAGATTTTGTGTCTATTTGTATTTGCTTGCATGTTTTTCCTTTCGTGACACATTAGCGTCATATGGTTCTTGTGTTTGTTTAATGGCTATTTTGTAACCTCATGAATGTAACCATTCCTGCAATGGTCCTGAACAAGGACCAGTAGTATAAATAAATAAAATAAATAAATAAAATAAAAGTTTTCCTTTTTTTGTCCCCTCACGAGAGTCAGTGAGAATAAAGTTCAGGCTGCACTGTTTCGCCTAGTACCTGGCTGCCAGGGAGTTTGCCCCGGACCTATTTGAGGACAAAACATAAAGTGGGCTAAATATTTCCCAGCTATTCCTTGGGAGTACTCATAATATGCAAAATATAAAGATAATAAAAAAAATACAGTACACTTAGGACTGCTTACGCGTAGGAATGCGAAGGCATTCCTACACGCAGCGCAATCCTACAAGCACCGTACCCCTTCCTCCGCGGTTGAGGACAGCGGGCAGCGCGCCTCCTCTTCGCGGCGCGGAATAGCTGAAAGCAAGAGCTTAGAACTTCAAAAGTAGCCCAAGGTGCATCATGCACGTGCAACGTGCAGCCCATGGGAAGATCATGGCGGCACAGCGCAGCACTGAATTGCATTTCAGACGCCATGATCTTCCCAGAAGTGGAGCGCGGCACGCGTCTCGAGCATTTCCACAAAAATGAATGGCGCCACTTTTCCCAGGATAGAGGGGCTTCTACGTAGAACGCGTGAGCAGCCCCTCTCCGGGCCTCCGGCCATGCCTACCACGTGGCTCAAAGGGGGGAGAGAGGGCCTGCCACGTGCTCCAAGAGGTGTGAGAAAGGGGCGGCCGAGCGCCCGCACCCTCTCCTTAGCTGATCTTCGTTGCTCGTTCGCCGGCATTCTCTGTTTGCATGCGAAATAGTTCCTATTTTTTTCGGGGTCACAGTCAGCGCCGGCGGCGCCCTATGGGACAGTTAATGCTTTGAAACTAAAAATTACAGGAGGACACTTACGACCGCCTACGGTGCAGGATTGCGAATGCATTATAGTCACCCTGGGGAATGTTTTTGAGTAATGTTTCTACACATAGTAAAGGCTTCACTCGCTGCTGCCGCCGACGACGCTCGCTGGTGCTTTCTTGACGCGTGTACTTACATCCTTTTATTTGTGACACGAGTTTCGCCGATTAAACCTTTATTTTCAGATCATTAGTCACCACCTCGTCACCTTCATTCGTGACATTTCTGGTGGAGGTAAGGAAAACTTCATTCCAAGTCAAAAAAGAAATGACGACAACGTCCGCCAGTTTCGACCGCCCCCCACCCTTCTACTTCCTCCCTCTGCTCCTCCCTCCCCTCCCTTCCCTTCCCTTCCTTCCTTCCCTCACCCCCCCCCCCCCCCCCCCCCCCCCCGTCGTCGTTATTATGTCCGTCGTACCCCGGGCGCCTGCTTCTTTGCACGCCGACGTTGTTGTTGTTTGCGGGCTTTATGGCGCAAGAGCTACGATGGCCATACTGCGCCAAACTAGGTAAACTAAATTGAACTAGAAACGATGCACCAAGGAAGTATTTCTGCTATACTTTATGTAAGATCACTATATTTTCGAGAAAAGCTAAAAGACGGTCAACTGATATTAGAGGCTGCTCTCCTAGGAACAGAGTAGGATTGAAAGGGATACAGTACTTGACAAGCTCAGGAAAAAAGAACTTGTGTTGTTGGAGAACACCACGGCAAAGAAAAATGTGTAGAACAGACGAATTGTCGCCACAGTGCTCGCACACCGGTGGCTCCTCACCAAAAAGCAGGTGTCGATGGGTGAGGAAGGTGTGGCCGATCCTCAAGCGGCACAGAAGAACCTCACGGAAACGGCACCGGTTATTGGAGCTTTCCCAGGTACCGATGCCTGGCTTGATAATATGAAGTTTGTTGTTATCGGCCAAATCCCACTCGGACTGCCACAGTTTTAGAAGTGCAAGCCGTATGGGCCTAGTTAGGTCTTGGTGTGGTATGCAAGCCTACGATGGTAAGAGATTATGCGAGGAGGCGGCCAGTCTATCTGCAGCCTCGTTGCCTGTAATGCCCCCCTGGCTGGGGATCCAACAAAACTTAATACCCTTCCTATCTCCGAGGCCCAGTTGAACATTAGTACGTACCAGTTGAGTCAGTTTGTTCTTGGTTGGATTACGTGAACATGTTGCTGTAACAACGCTCCGGGAGTCAACAAAAATAACGGCTTTCATCACTTTGCTCCGGATAATATAGTCAAG